CAAGAAACGAAGTACAAATACGACGTGCAATTAATTAGTTTGCAATGACAATCTTTCCTTTCGAGTTTACGACTACTCTGAATATGGCGCTTATTTTCGATCAATTTTGGCCGATTTTGGGCATCGAAAAGAAATAAACTGCGTCAAAAAAAGATTGATCGAACCTAAACCAATATTTCTGTAACTAGTACCCGTAGTGCTTCATGTTCTGAGCGAGTTTGATGAAATTCCAGTTTTTCGCTATTTCCCAACGTACCTGTTAAATTGATCCACGAAATCTCTTTGTCTCCTTCTTGTTCGAATCGTGTCCAGGCCATTCAGAGTCTCCGAAATGTGAGAGAAGACTGGGCTGCGGCATATGGACTCTAATCGTTTCAGTTCTCTGGAAGTCTTCAAGTAGTACTTGGAGATGTAGAGGACCAACACAGTCAACGGAACAGTAGCAAACAGAAGCCAAGGATTTGCGACAGATGGCACGATGACGGATGTAAACAACAGCAATACCAACTGGATTGAAAACAGAAATCTTAGTGGCAACAGTTCGTCCATACAGCCCACATCTTTAGAAAATCGATTCAGGATTCGTCCCGCAGGATTCGAATCAAAGAACAGAACTGGCGCTTGTAAAATAGCCGCAACCATTTTGTCATGAAGACGCTTAGAACATCTTCCACAAACCAAGAGGAATGCGTATGCACGAATCATTGCAAATATAATGGCTGCCCCAACAAGACAGCCATAAATAGCCAAGTTTGTCTTGTCCTGCTGTTCTGTTGGAAGTTTCTTGGTCAAAAACGACAGCCACACATCAGGAGCTAATATCATTGCTAAAAAATGGTAAAAGGTAGCCCGATTAGTAACTATTAATTATTGCAGTCCAGATTGTGATCATACACAAAGACTGAATTGTGGGACGGGCGAAAGGAGCTGCCTTTGTTTGATAAGTTCATTTCACGAACTTTCTGAAAGCACCGTATGTCGAGTATGTCGGTTCTTTCCTTCTTAATGGCAGATTACAGTTTTAACGATTAGAAGAACCACAATTTCTGCGTTGCGTTGAAGTGAATTCAGGGATAATAAAATTCTTAGTAACCTCACTGGGAATCATCCACATCTGTGGTTGCTACGTGCTTACCTTTAGAAATCTTAAGACTGATATCAGAGCAACTTTGCAAGAGCTTACCTTGCGTGATTACACAAAAAAAAACCAATGCGATGATCACTGAGGCAGGCACCCCACTTCTGAAGTAGTTCCAATATAGCTTGGTTGACACTACTCCGATTGTGCGATCTTCTACAGAGATTTCCAAACCCTTGGCGTCACTGGGTATTCCAGGTACCATTCTTTCACCTTCCCCTTTATTCTCCTCAACAGCATTGTTTCCTGNAAGACTGAGTTGTGAGACCAGCGAAAGGAGCGGCCTTTGTTTGATAAGTTCATTTCACGAATTTTCTGAAAGCATGGTATGTTGAGTATGTCGGTTCTTTCCTTCTTAATGGCAGATTACAGTTTTAACGACTAGAAGAACCACAATTTCTGCGTTGTGTTAAAGTGAATTCAGGAGTAATAAAATTCGCAGTAACCTCACTGCGAATCATCCACCTCTGTGGTTGCTACGTGCTTAGCTTTAGAAATCTCAAGACTTTGATATCAGAACAACTTTGCAAGAGCTTACCTTGCGTGATTAGACAAAAACAAACCAATGCGATGATCACTGAGGCAGGTACTCCACTTCTGAAGTAGTTCCAATATAGCTTACTTGACACTACTCCGATTGTGCGATCTTCTACAGAGATTTCCAAACCCTTGGCGTCACTGGGTATTCCAGGTACCATTCTTTCACCTTCCCCTTTATTCTCCTCAACAGCATTGTTTCCTGAGTTATCATCGTTTGCAACCTTCTGGTAGAGTGGGTCAAGCGTTTGATTTAAAATGCCTTTTTCTTGTAGCTCAGTGAATTTACCCTTGCTCAATACACGACCTTTATACAGCACGATCACTTGATGAGCTTCTTTCATGTGCTGTTCTTGATGAGTGGTCAACAGTCGTGTTTTATTACCCAGTAGGTCTTTGATACATTTTTCAAAGATTTGTTGGCCAACTTTAACATCTACCGCACTCAGAGGATCGTCCAACAAGTAAAGATCTGCATCGACGTACACTGCACGTGCTAAGCTTACTCTTGCCCGCTGGCCTCCACTCAGAACGACACCGCGTTCGCCAACAATGGTTTCGTCGCCATTGGGAAACTGCTGGATATCTTCCATGAGGGCGCATGCTTTGATTATTCTGGTATACCTGTGTTCATCGTATGGTTGACCAAACAAAATGTTTTCTCTTAGAGTTCCAGAGAAGACCCAAGCTACTTGTGGCACATAGGCAATGGTCTCTGGGCGGGTTATTCCGCTTGTGTCAGAGATCTCTCCAGCGATTGCGGAGAGAAGAGTAGATTTTCCACTGCCAACTGGTCCAGTCACTACCGTCAAACTTCCTGAAGTTGTAGTTAATTCGATATCTTGCAGGATAAATTCATCTTTTCTATTTAATCCTTTATACGTCAAATGCGACACACATAGAAGTGCCTGTGTGCTAGTATCTTTCAACGCCGTTTCACTTGTGTTTTCTGAACGCTTTGCTTCAGGGATCGAAGGAATCGTCGATAGATTTTCTGACGAAAGAAAATCTTGAATTCTACCTAGAGAAACATATGCGTCGCGTATCTCCAAGAAACCAAAGGCTAAGTGAAAACAAATGGCTAATCTTAGCATACCCAGAAAAGCAAGGAGCATAAAAGCATTAACTGGTGTGAGGGGTTGACCAGATAACACAAGAGCAATGATTGATACCAAGGTGGCCACTAGTACTGAAGTGTACTCCAAAGCAGCAAGACTTGCTAAAATGGCACACTTCGTACGGATGATGTTTATCTCGCGTCTGAAAGAAAAAGAGGAGACTGTGATGTTTGGCAAAATTTGTATTTGCAGAACATGGCAAGTCATCTATAGCTTTTACAAAATAAACGGCCCGCAACGCATGCAGAAGCGATGACGTTTAAAAATTATTCCTNCATAGAAGTGCCTGTGTGCTAGTATCTTTCAACGCCGTTTCACTTGTGTTTTCTGAACGCTTTGCTTCAGAGATCGAAGGGATCGTCGATAGATTTTCTGACAAAAGAAAATCTTGAATTCTACCTAGAGAAACATATGCGTCGCGTATCTCCAAAATACCGTAGGCTAAGTGAGAACAAATGGCTAATCTTAGCATACCCAGAAAAGCAAGGAGCATAAAAGCATTAACTGGTGTAAGGGGTTGACCAGATAACACAAGAGTAATGATTGACACCAAGGTGGCCACTAGTACTGAAGTGTACTCCAACGCACCAAGACTTGCTAAAATGGCACTCTTCGTACGGATGATGTTTATCTCGCGTCTGAAAGAAAAAGAGGAGACTGTGATGTTTGGCAACATTTGTAATTTGCAGAACATGGCAAGTCATCTATAGCTTTTACAAAAAAAATAACACCACGAAGCATACATAATTACTTGGTAAAATTCAAAAAGGACGAGGAAAGCCTCTGTTCTAGTAATACTACATGAACAAACGTAGGCAAGCGAGGAAGGAAGTTTTAACATTCTTTCTCAAACTCATTAATAATTCATCAAGATTAAACAAAGTAAATCATGACCTTGACGGTGTTTGGATATCTAATCTTAATTAGCCATATGGATTTTTACGATTTTAATTCTCCCTTTTCTTCTTAGTTTCACTTTTGATTGAGAAGATACATCAAACACTCAAGACAGTGTTTGACCACATTTCCAAACACCTCGAAGGTCGTCAAAAATAGTCCGCTACGCGTCGTATTTTCAACTCTCTTCGCGGTGTTTGGAAATGTGGTCAAACACGGTCTTTCGTGTTTGATATAGTACTTCGAGCCCTCGTTTTCCTCCCTTTTCTCGTCCTCTCTTTTTCTTTTTAAGACCACTGTTTTCTTTTGAATAGGAGAGTCTAATCACGTTTTGGCTGGAGCTGTCAGCTTCATCAATAGTGAGAAGGTGGCTGTTTACTAAGACTGTTATTTCCGCTTTGATCAGAAGGGTTCTCGGGAACNTAAAAAATGATAAATTAATCATTAATTATCAATAGTCAATTAATTTCATATTATTTTTAATAGAAAATTAATAATTAAATATTAAAAATAATAATTTAATTATTAATTACCAAAAGTTAATTAATTATTTATTATAAATTATTTTAATTAATAATTTTTAAATTTAAAATAATAAATTAATTGTTTTTACTAAGTGAGTCTCGATTTCGGAGAAACGAGACTCGGTTCCGCTCACTGAAACGAGTCTCGATCGTATTGGTATCCCATCGAGTCTCGTATCGGTTCTAAATCGAGTCTCGTTTCTAAATCGAGTTGTTTCCCAGAAACCTTGAGAGATCCCGACCGTGCGGGGTTTCGAAAACCCTGATCCTTGAAAAACTCAGTGTCTCGAAGGTCGGAGATTTTCAAGGGTCTGAGTTTTCGATACATCCGGCGTTCTGAGTTTTTAGTGTTTGAATTTTCGAGACACCCGACTTTCTGAGTTTTTCAAGGGTCTGAGTTTTCGAGACACCCGACGGTCTGAGTTTTTCGTGGGTCTGAGGTCTGAGTTTTCAAGACACCCACAAAGTATATCGTAAATGTTCGTGAATGATCGAATAAACAGATTCACGAAGCACGCTCACAACACAATGAACAGCATCCGCACTAGTGACCTTTGAATCGATCCTGAAGCAATTTTTGAAGAATAGCCTTGGCCAGCGTCGAGAATTTGCAGAAAAATCCAGAAATCAGGAGCTGAAAATACTGCTTCTGAGGGTGTTTAACAAATATTCTGCGTTCTGGCTGCCACTTTATACGTGGATCACTTAGCAGGGTTGAGCTGTATTTAAGGTAGAATGAATATCAACTGCATAACTAGTGACCAGTTTTCTCCGGTTGAATATCTGGAACGGGGATCTAAAAAACGTGGAATGTAAGCGACTTTATATCTCACTTTTGGCCGCCACATTTTTTTTCTCTACGCACACTGAAAATAGTTTTAAGGTCATTCCTCACATTTGCATTGCGCATCCTTACTGCACATCCTTACTGCGCATAATTTATGGCGTCATAAGCGCGCTCGTGCACGCGCATATTGAAAACATGACGGATTTGCCTTGATATTGAGCTCTATCACTGAGTTGAAAAATGGCTCTAGCTCACAAACGAGCACGGGCACCCCAATTTTTTTCCAGTCATTGTAATCGACTAATCATAAGGTTTACGTGAGAAAAGACTGATCTAATTTCTATTGCTGAGAATTGAATAAATAAGAAAAATAGCAGACACACTGTGGTCTTTTCTATTTTGCAGTCGGTAACCACGTCAAGAAATTTGGTTCAAATTTTTAATCAAGGATTTAGCTTTCAGTCTGAATCAAACTTAAAATGTTTATTTGTGTTCGACACAATGCATTGACTGTAGTTTAATGCGTATTATTTTGAGTCTGGGTTCACAAATATTTTACAATTACTGGGAATGTGTGCTTATAATAAGCACCAAATAATGCCAAAATGGGGCATTTTCAATGCGTCACTACTCCTTAATGAGCATGGGCACCCCCCTTTTTTATTGCAAAATTGAAGTTATAATATGACAAATATTCAGTGGACAAAGTTTGAAAAAAAATCTATTGTTATTTTTATTTCAGAGGAATTACCTTAAACGGGAAAGGGTTGACTCAACACTATAATTCATATGGAAACTTCTACTTATGGGCTCGCGTAAAACTTTTTATTCATTTATAAGAATTGCATACTAACGTAGCTTTCAACTATAGTAAGACAAGACACAAAAAATGCTTGACAAGGGATCTTGAGACTTTCACTTTCGTGACTAAATTGGTTTTTACGGTTAACATGCTTTACGGCTAACGGTTGAAATTTTCCACTTTGAAGGCCTACTGGTCGTTTTACGGATAACGGTCAACCCCATTGGGACCCTCTTTTCTAAGCGAGGGTCAATAAAAGTGTCTTTTCAACTTGAGCTATCTGGTGCGCGTGCTGTGAGTCGCTGTGTCCCACTAGGAAGTCACATTGATCGTCTCTCTTTCCTGATTTATATTAACGACTCTTTTTGTATTTTATTCTTTTTATTTGTAGGTTGTACAAGGGTTACGAGCAAAAAGTTACTTTAATCCTAGTTTTACAATTTTACATAAAAAAGGGAAAAAAATTAAAAGGACGGACACACAGAAAAAATGGAAAAAAAGGAAAGCAGAGAGGCCTATTAAATAGCTCTTCACATACACTATCACTAAAAGACTAAATTAACTGAAGCAGGGTAGAAATTTGTTCCATTTGTTCCACGCATTTTGGTTGTGATGAACAAGGAAGGGTGCAATTGATTCCAACCTCTTAGCCATTGCTTTAGATGCAATTTTGACATCCATGTTTATCAGCGAGATTTGACGCCAGTTTCTCAGAAGTCTTTTGTCTTTATCTTTCCTTTCAAGTAGCGTAATCATGGCTTGTTTTTGGGGGGATGGACAATTCACCATGACGGTGCGCGAAATTTAGACATTCAACGAGACATTTTCCAACAAGAGGCCAGAATGCGAGGTGAACTGAACTCAACCGTTGATCCTTCCTTTCCAGGTGTTTTGTTTTTCTGGAATGTTTTTAAAGCTGCGAAACATTCGCTCGTAGCAAGTTGTTTGTCTAATTAATCACGTTGTTCACCTGTTAATTTATTGGCATTTACTGTACTATGACTGTACTGAGAAAAGGTTGAATTAAATTTTCGTCCGAATGGTCGACCAGCTACTTATCATACAGGTTTCCACAGTATAATTGAATTTCATTTAGAATCGTACTTTTGTCATTTTCTGTGTTTAGTTTTCTTATGCAACTTTCTTTTCTTCGAGAGTTTTTCAAATTCAAGAAACATTTATTACTTTTTTAGCCATGTTCATACCAGTTCGCCCTTGATCTTACAATTTCTCCTTGTGCAATAAACTCGTACGTACGGCCATAATCGTTTGAAGAATTTCCAAATCATTCAAATTTTTTGAGCTTGGTTCTTTATCGCATGCTATTTGACAATCTTTTATCTGCTTTTCCAAACTCGTTAATGTTGCTCTTCTTTCTCTAGGCTTGGATTTACTATAGAGAATCGTTTCTGGTCGAATTTTATATTTAGTATGATCCCACAGAACCCGAGGATCTTCAATTTCTCTACCCTCCTCAATACACGTGCAATATTTATCTTTAATGAGTTCAGTGATACATACATTTCATCATTAATTAAGCTGGCATTGAACGTTCATCTTCAATTCCGTTAATAAACAAGGTGATTGCTGAGTGATCCGATTTAATCGCAGGTATAGTGTCTTCGCTCTTTACATCTTCTTGTAAAACTACTTCAAGTTAGCCCGAAATCTAATCGTCGTTGAATGACTGGATTTTTTGTCGCCAAGAAAAACGTTTCTCATCTGGATTCCTAACTCTCCAGATGTCTATAAGTCAAATGACAGGCGGATTTGGTCTATTATTTTGACGGATTCTTTTAATTTACGCTTTCCTCCTAAGCCATCAAACTCAGGATCTAAGATAACATTGAAATCTCCTCCGACGATTATATCACAATCAGCTCGGTTCTATATTTAGACTGTCAAGCTCAGTTTGAATCTCTTGGAAAAAGATGCACTGCTCGCCGGTTTTATTTGGAGCATAAATATTAACAAAAACAAACGGTCGCTCCTACACATAATTGCCCATTAAAATGATACGACGACCTTGCTTATCATGCATCATGATTTCAGTTTAAAATTAAGCCTTTCTTTGACAAGAATCAAAACACCTCTACTATGTTCAGACCTGTAAGGGAAGTAAAGATCTCCTTTCCACTAGGTTTTCAATATATTTCCAACATCTGGCTAACTGCAAGTTTCTTGCAAAAAGACTACGTCGGCCTTATCTTTGGACAACCACTGAAAGAACGCCTTTCGTTTCTAAAGAGTTCGAATTCCCCGAACATTGGGTGATAGCAATCCAAAATTTACATTGCGCTTCGTGAATAGCGAAGCGCGCGAGTGTCGTCATAACTCAGACAAACTCAGATGCAAAGCCTATCGCACGTGGATATGTTACCAGTTGCAGCCAGAACGATGAAGTTCGCCTCAGAAACATCCCTGTAAAAAATCTAGCTTATGCGCGGTACTAAATGCGCGCGGTTTTTATTAGCAATGCATATCACTGTACTTGTTTAGCCATGTTCACTGAACTGTGGATTTTGTCACGTCGTCTTTCGTGTATTCATTCGAATCCACTGAGACGAGTTTTTTGCTTAGCAATTCAAACAAGCGTTCCATGTCCGACTCCTCTCCTTCTTGAACCGGAATACCGAAACCCGAAAACCCGATCAATGATTATGAGAATGACGGCAGAAATAATTCACTTAATTAATTCATAAATCTCGGGAGTAACTAAATATAGCTGTTGTTTATTTCCTTTGCTTTTAATAATTAAACCACATACTCTAGTAGACCTCTTTAGCTTGGGCGATTTGTTCTCCCATTGTAGACCACGTGATATTCTCTGGACTATTTAAAAATTTGAAAACAAGAATTCTCAAGAGTATCATCACGTGGTCTGCAATGGGAAAACAAACCGCTCAAGCTAAAGAGGTCTGCTGTTAAAAAACCGACTGGTTAATTTAGATAAAGACAATAGCGTGTTTCTGTCGGAAATATTGGCTGATAGTTTCCCCGCGGAAATTTGATGTTCTTGAAATAAATATTTGCTTCGAGGGCAAATATGCTAGTTTTAAGAACATCAAATTCCAAGGGGCAACTATCAGACCGATAGTTCCGAGACAGAAACACTCTATTGTCTTTATCTAAATTTTCTTCCGCGCGCCAGTTAAAAAATCATATTGAATTATTTTCAACTTTTTTAGATGAAAGCCATGAAAGCCAAATGTAAAATTCGAAAAAGAAAAACAGACAAAAACCCACTTAATACAATTTCAATTATTTATTTTCTATATAGCTATAGGCACGCTTGTTTACAGAAAATTTCACGGACGAGTGCTATCCATCCGGGTATTTTCCTCGGACGGGCTCTATGGGTTGATAGTGTCTCCCCGCGGATGAACACTATCGCGTCAGGTGATCAATTTAAACCAATAAGAATCAGAGAAAATTTGGTGGTGAACTATAATAATTATTAGGGGATCCATGGTTCCGGTCCATGAAAGGGGGTCCATGGACCCGATCCATATTTTGATGGACCCGGTACATGGACCTGGTCCACGGAGGGGTCCATGATTTGTACTCTCCCAATAAATTTCGATGTCGCTGCAATAAGCAAGTGCAAAGAATGAAAAATGTCTGTATGGTGTAACAAATAAACTTTAACATCAAGTCAGAATTTCGCTACCTCTGTGAATCGCAATATGGATTGAGAGGCCGAAATGATCACACCTATAGGGAAGCCTAAATTAGGAATCAACGAGGCAGGCATGGTGGCCATATTGGTTACGATATTTGCTTTCGTATTGGGTAATTATTGCTTTATTATTATGCTTTTCCTTTGGAACTCTTCAACATAAAACGCACTCATCAATCATTGCGGCCAAGATACTATAGTCTCACCAATTGATTTTTTCGAGCTCCAATTTCAAGACTTTCGAGGCTCGCTCGAACAAAACCTGCCATACGATTTGCCGAAAATCAGCAAGCAATACATACCACAACACAATCTCTTACTAAAGATAATCTCCAGTCCGTACAGCGCACTCTCGAGAGCTTGTTTGCGTTTTTTGTTTTGTTTCATGTAAGACATCACAAAATGTAAACATTTTGCAGCTACTTACATGAGGCAAATCAACCGCCATTATGGATGCGAAGCGGTCGAAGCTTTATGCTTTGTAATCGTTCTCGTATCTCTTGATGAAACAACTTCGCAGCTGTAAAAATCAATAAAGCTGTTGGAAAAAGAATTTGAAAGGCCTCAAAGATAAGGTAGGTGTTTCGTAACGAATAACATCGATTCGCATTCCATCGAGTGAGATTTATAATGTTTATGAACATTAGGGTGCTGAGACTGGGTTTATACTATCGGTCGACATGTCGGTCAGCATATCGCCGATATGTCGGCCGATATGTCGAACGATAGCCGACCGAGTGTCGATCGCAGTCGGCCGCATGTCGGTCGACTATCGCAAGTCACTCAGTATACCAAAATATTTCACGGCTTACAGAACAAAGAATATTTAAAACTGTCATAGATAAGGAAACAAGCTACTTAAAACCTCTCCTCAGTTCCTGTGCATCGGACTGAAGACAAACACGCTTTGTTCAGTAACTGCAGTTTATTGATCGTTTACTAGATGACGACATGCAGTTTGAAAAAAAAAAACCATTCTTTTTCAATTTCCAAGTTTTGTTTTTCAAAACGTTTCCACCAGCCCGAGATCAGCTCTGGCTGAATGCAAAGGTTTACACACACTTGTCAGTTTTTTCATGGAATTAATCCGCAACATTAGTAAACGCCGATGATGCTATAACCGTGAGTTGCAAACAATAGTCAACCAATCAGAGCGCGTGCTTTATAACCATCGATGTTTAAACTATGCTTTAACAAAATGTTCGGTATAACGAAAAAAGCTTTCGTCTAACTTATTATCATAGTTTCGAAGACGTTAAATATACTGTATCCCGAATGTGACCGAAACAGATCAGGATTCGAAACCCTAGCTTATAATACACCATTCATTTGCTCCCAAAGAAAAATTACTCATCATTCACTCAGATACAACAAAGATAAATTTGTCTTGTCCTTTAGTTTGGTGACGGCCGAAATAACGACTAGAAGAATTAAAAGACGGTAAAATTATAGCACGCCATGCACCGACTTACACCGGGTTGACGAGACAACAACTTTGTTGCTACTTCATAACCAATAGAATATATTTTCGTAAGGCAGACTATAATTCAGGGCCTATTTAATGAAATTCCACCCCCTAAATTCAAACCATGCTTAAGGCAAGTGATTATATAAAAAAAGGAAAGGTGAGCAGTAATAACATGAAATGACTAATATATCATCCACCGATCACAAAGAAGTTCATAAAACAGGACAGGGTGTTTAAGTCTCTTTGTGTAATGTTCTTTGATGAGATTGTTCCTGACTTTCGCTATATATAGCTCAGTTTCTTAATTCTTCATTGCTTTGCCTATAAAATGTATCTAGATGCCCTATATAGTGTAAATAAAGAATTGAATTGAATTCTAATAGATCTTTTTAACTTGGGCGGTTTTTTTGCCCCATTTCAGACCATGTGATGATATTCTTGAGAATTCTTATATTCAAATGGTCGCGTGCATCTGACTTAATAATTTTCAAATTGATCAAAGGACAATTCTCTAGAGAATATCACGTGGTCTGTAATGGATGAAAACAAACCGCCCAACCTAAAAAGTTCTATTGTATATGGTACCTGCTACTGCTTATTTTCGATAAGCAAGAAGTAAACAGCCACCAACAATTGATTCAAATGGAAAGGGGTCTGTACATAACACTGTTCTGTCATCAAAGAGGGAACCGGCCTATCTAGATATCTGCAACTAGAGCCATTTCATTCAGAGCACCTCCTTTCTTATTAACTAAACTGTCAAATTTATCAAATTCGTCAACTTCCCCACCTTTCAAAACCAAAACCATGTCACAGTCTTTGATGGTACTTAAACGATGAGCTATAGTGATTACTGTGGATTCTTTTAGTTTCTCACGCACTACGTTCCAGATTGTTTGTTCTGTTTCTGGATCCACATGTGCAGTGGGCTCATCCAAGATGACGATCTTGCTTTGCTGTAACAGCACACGAGCCAAGCAAATTAACTGCCGCTCTCCTACACTGACATTTGCTCCATGTTCTAACAGCTCGTGATCCAGCTTTCCATCTAGACTTTCTACCAACTCTTTCAGTTGCACCTTCTCCAAAGCTCGCCACAAATCTGCATCTTGCAACTGCTCCAAGAGATCAAGATTTTTCCTGAGCGATCCACTAAACAAGACAGGGCTTTGGCCAAGAACGGATATACATCGTCGAGCGTCTTGGAGATTGATCTGTTTGATTGGAATATCATCGACCAGTATGTCTCCATCAGCGTCAGGCATGCGCATGAGCGCTGCCACAAAAGATGACTTGCCTGCACCTGTGCGACCTGCAACACCGATCTTTGTTCCTCCTTTGATGTTAAGATTGATTCTCTTCAGTACTTGAGGGGCCCCCGGATAGTACGTTAATGACACATCTTGAAATGTGATATTTCCTTCGTGTGGCCAGTGTTCTGGGGGAAGCCTATGCACTTTGTATCCAGGTTCTGAGTCAAGTTTGGTGTATGTCATTACTCGTTCAACTGAGGTCATGAAATTCTCGACATCCGAGGTTTTTCTGACAGCGTATTGAGTAGCTATCGAAGTTTGGATGACATAAACAAGGGCAAGTCCCGCCCAAGCTGATTAAAACAAAAGACAAAAGAAAAGAGATTATTCAGATTATTCACTTGTATCACACCTATGGGTATGTTTCTACAGTTTTGACAAATAAAAATGCCTTGCCCTACGATACAACTTTCCGCTAAATAATCTATTCCCCGTTATCGTTTGACGGATATTCCCCTTCTTTTGATGGGTTAAGAGACTGCTATGTCACCTGTAAATAAACTGCCTTAAATAACTCTTTGCTACTGTGCTTAATCGTGTCCTGTAAGCTTAGCCTCAGACTATACAGTGACTATAATATTCTACTCGTGTGGAGTTCTATCCAGCACCTCTACCAAGACAGCATGCGCTCCTCACACTCAGGGATAAAAGAATTATTGACCTATGTTATCGCATCATCGCTCAAAAAAGGAAGGAGAATTTAGACCAAGGACCTCCGAATTACAAATCCAGCGTCCTAACCACTAGGCCACGCCACCTCCATCATAAAAGAATAATTAAACTTTGATATCGTATCATGGAGATATCGCTGCAATCCGGTCCGGCTTTTGCCACCGGGAGCGAAAACTGAGCAAACTGGCGACGAGAAATGTAAGGCTGCTCTATTTGCAGGCTGCGATTATCCCTAGTAGTGTAAATTGTTCGTGTTTCAATTTTCGTTTAACCAAAATTGTAATCTTCGCAAGTCCCTGCGATGAACCACCATAAACTATGAAACGTGAACAGCAAACCGATAGTTAATTAAGAAGTGGCCTACGAGGCAGACCCTCAGAATAAGTAACATCTATTATGTCGATTTTGATTTACATTACAAATGCACCTACCAGCATCCTGAGACACCAAACCAGCCGCCAGAGACACTGCACCGACTAACATGGATGCGAGAAGGTCCAAGCGTACACCAAGCCATCGCCCACTGGCCATTACCATAATATACGACTGATTATGAACATCTTGATATCTAACGAAGAAAACAACGCACTAAGTAAATGAACTTATTTTTTGACTGAAAAAAAATACTTCATTGATGATTGGCTGCGAGCAGGCCAATTGATCGTTTATTTTTAATTTGCACTGCAGTGCAAATTAAATTTTTTCATGTAATTTTCTCAGTCACGGCGTCTTATAATAAATGAGTAATCTCATGACAGCTTGAGTAATTCAGCATTTACAATACTCGTGATATTTGGGGATTTTCAAAAATCACTCGTAGCCGTATAAATCGCTAAGTGCACTCGCATTCATTCGATTACATATACTAATAAATGAAATTAGTCCTAATCACAAAACCACTACCTTAATAATCGCATCAGCTGTAGCAGAGGAAGTCTATGAGGGCGAATCACAATGGGCAATTTCTTCTGTGAGACGCGCCTGCAGGGAATCATGGTAGTTGCTTTCATCAAAACAAATATCCAGTCAGAGATAATGAATACAACTACCATGATTCCCCGCAGGCACGCCTCATAGTGGGAAATGTCCATTGGTCTTGGTTTACTCTGTGAAATAATGATAAAGTGGCGCCTGATTTTTACGCTAATCACCAAACGTAGTATAAAAAATCAAAGCAGATGCGCTTTACGTTCCAAACGCTAGTGAAAACCCAATAGAGGTTGTAAAATCACCTGTGAAACTGATCCACGAAATCTTTTTGTCTGCCTCTTGTTCGAATCGTGTCCAGTCCATTCAAGGTCTCGGAAAAGTGAGAGAAGACTGGGCTACGGCATATTGACTCCAACCTTTTGAGCTCTCTGGACGTCTTCAAGTAATACTTGGAGATGTACAAGACTAACACAATCAACGGAACAACAAGAAATAGAAGCCAAGGATTTGTAACAGTTGATATGATTATTGATGCAAACACCAACAAGACTCGCTGGATAGATACTAGAAAAGTCTTGGGCAACAACTCGTCAAGGCAGCCTATATCTTTAGAAAATCGATTGAGTATTCTTCCCACGGGATTTGAATCAAAGAATAGAACCGGTGCTTGTAAAATAGCTAAAACCATCTTGTCATGAAGACGCTCTGAACATCTTAAGGAAACAAAAAGAAATCCGCAAGCTCGCATGAGGGCAGAGATAAGGGACGCACCGACGAGATAAGCATAGATAGTTAGGTTTGTGCTGTCTTTCTGATCTTCTGGTAGTTTCTTTGTTAGTGACGAGAGCCAGACGTTAGGAGCAACTATCATTGCTGAGAAAAGAGAGAGACGAAATAAAAATGATATGATCAAAAAACTTGACATGAAGCAAATTACTTTAAAATAGTCATTGGTCAGCTGATGAGGAATTACAAACTAAAATTGCGTAGGATTGTTACGTATGAACGACTACTGAGCTACAGTATTAACTCTTACCTTGCGCTATGAAGCACAAACAAATTACTGCAACAATTATTGACCAATGTACTCCGCTTCTAAAGTAGTTCCAGTAAAGCTTTGATGAAATCACTCCGATGGAACGATCTTCTTGTGATATTTCCAGACCTTTAGCTTCATTGGGTAGTGGCGCCATTGTTCCAAAGCCATCACCACCTTCGTTCCTCTGTTCTATCTCTCGAGCAACGCTCTCAGTATGCTTGCTATCTTTCCCAACTGTCTGATAGAACGGGTCAACAGTTGTGTTTAGAATACCTTTTTCTTTAAGTTCAGTTAAACGTCCCTTTTCCAACACGCGGCCTTTGTACAACACAATCACTTGATCAGCTTCTTTCATGTGCTGTTCTTGGTGTGATGTTAACACTCGCGTTTTATCGCCCAGTAAGTCGTTGATACATGATTTAAAGATATGTTGGCCAACTTTAAAGTCCACGGCACTGAGAGGATCGTCTAACAAGTAAAGGTCAGCATCAGCGTAAATTGCACGTGCTAAACTAACTCTCGCCTTCTGACCTCCACTCAGAACTTCACCGCGTTCCCCAACAACTGTTTGGTCATAGTCAGGAAACCGCTGGATGTCTTCTGTGAGAGCGCATGCCTCTATTACTCTGGTGTACTTTGATTCATCGTATGCTTGACCAAACAAAATGTTTTCTCTTATGGTTCCAGAGAAGATCCAAGCTGTCTGAGGAACATAAACAAGAGTCCCTGGCAAGGTTATTGTCCCGCTAACTTCAGAGATCTCTCCAGCGATTGCTGAGAGAAGAGTAGATTTTCCGCTGCCCACTGGTCCAGTTATGACTGTTAGACTTTGTGATGCTATAAAAAATTCAATATCTTGTAAAATAAATTCATCTTGTCGCTCGATTTGTCTGTACGTCAGATTCGACACATATAAAGTGTTGGGCTTGTCCTGCGGATTTTTTTCTAGGTCAGGATTGAATGCTATCTGCATTTTCGCCTGCTGATCTAACAGACTGTTCGTAACTTTGGTTGCCTTGCTCTCTGGGTTACTGATGTCCTCTTTAGACTGACCACGTAAGATGGCGGGAAGGTTTTCTAAAAGAAGAAAATCTTCTATTCTTCTTAGCGATGCATAAGCTTCATATGTTTGTAGCAAAGCATTAGAAATATAAAGGCATGTTATTGATCTTGCGATAGCCATAAAACCTAGCAGCATAAAGACATTAACAGGTGTGATGGGTTGACCAGTAAGTACCAGAGTAACGACAGACAACAGGGTCGCTACTGATACTGAACTGTCCCACAAGGCAAGAACGCCTGACAGAATGGCACTTTTCTTACGGATGATGTTAATTTCACTTCTGAAAACAAAACCAAAAAGAACTATGAGGATTTACCGTACCCAAATTCGCAATCAGCCAACTGAATCAGAAGCCGTACTTATTGCCCTGTTCTGATATCCTGAGATATCAAGTCACTGACCTGATATGGTTATGATGTCATCATGGTGTCACGTGGTTAAATTGAGGCACGTTGATACCTAATCGTTGCTTTTTTTGGTAAGCTTCGGGCACATGTCAGGCTCGTTTGGTCTTGCCATGGCCCCACCAAACTCGTCCGATGTGCCACCGAAGGGCACCAAAAGGGTATGACGAGGTGTGAATATACGACACTAGAGATAGCAATTGGTATTAAGTAGCACAAGAGCTCTATCTTTCTAACTTTCGTGATATTCTCTTTAAAAATAAATAAATAAATAAATAACCTTTATTTACCCTCGGCAGTGTTATAGCACAAGTGCTAGTGGGGCCGAGCAAACAACTGAGACAAATAATTCAAATTGAACGTAACATTGAACACAACATCTTTCAGCCAAAATTTAGATGTGCGAATGGTCAGCGAGGGGTTCGTATAAATAAGGGTGTACAGTACAACTTTTTTTAGTGGAAATTGCGAAGAATGCCAGTCAGCAACCTACAATTTTTAATAGGATTATTGAGCCAAAAAAACCAATAACACTAATCCTTTTAAAGACAACTGGCGTGATTGTGTTCTATAAGCAGAAAGCAATTACAAACGATGAGGTAAATGATCAAACTACAACTGCAGTAAATCAAATTACTTGCACATGTGCACATGTGCTGTAACACAGTTATCAGTTAAATTTTCGATAATTTATTAGCAAATAGTTAAAACGTCAACCCACTTATTTCTCTATCGATAAATTTTGCAGATCTTAAGTCTCAGTACTTAGTTAAAACACGTGTCATATTTCAAATGGCAGTTAACTTTTGCCCAATTCTCAGCTATTATTTGAACCCCATCCAGACACTCCGAGTCAACATTATTAAGCACCACATTTGTTTTCCACCTACCTTCGTGTGTGTTTAATTTTTTTTCTGTATTCATCCTCCCACCCACGTGTTTTGATGGCGCGAATCCCAGAAACCACCTGGTTCATCAAGGAAATGCGTCGATCGGACACCGCTGCTGCGAGCACGCGTTGTGCAGCGTAAATATAGGAGAACCCAAGGAAATATGGCACAAGGAAACATAAGAAAAAGACTCCCATAAGAGATTGCCAGCCAATCAAATACACGAGTAGCACTGCTATCACCACCAGGACAAAGCACGAAGGAATCGATAAGGAAAGCCACAGGACTGTGTCTTCCTCCATTCGCTGAACATCGTTTGACATAAGGTCGATCACGTGGCCTGTTGTAAATTTTAACAATGCATCCTTGCTGAGATGTAGCGTCTGCGAAACAAGAAATGCTGAATGTTAGGGTTTTTCACGAAACAAGGATTAAAGTATGTTAATATTACTTTATATTACGCTGAATCAACTTTGCGAACAATCGATGTAAAGCAATTTTCGTTTATTTTCGATGAAACGGTCAATTGTAAAATCCGTATTGAATTCTAGAGGCCACATCGTAGAACTGGGCATACCCCTTGGAGCCTACAATTGAGAGTGATGATTATTTTACTGTCAAACCTCATTAGATAATATTGAATGTCAAGAAACCAGAGGGCAATAACTAACAAAATTCCATCAGCATCAAATCTACTCTGTGGCTATTCATACCTGCGATTAGGAGTTCTTTTTTGAGCTTCACCTCGAACGCAGAGAACACACGATCGTACTGCTAAGCTATTCTACACTATTCATGCTTACCTTATGGTAAATTAGACCTTTTAAGGCACAACTGATTCTGGCACCCAACAGCTCACATCCGTAGTCTTGTTGGTGCATACTAAAAACTCCGACGACGGAATTAATACACAAAGCAAGTGTACAACCATAGAGAAGATTATCTTTCTTTGGCTCAGCTGACATCAGTATGGAAATAAGATATCCAATAGCAATGGTTGAAGAAGGGTAGAAATTGAATACAAAGCATTCGTGAATCCAATAATCAGGACATCCTTTGTCGAGATCAACTTTATGACGCTTTTCCAAAGTTTAGGCCTTTTTTGATTTCTTTTGCACTTTGTTTTTTCTTTGTTCCAGTTTTCTTGAAGCTGATC